AGCACACAAGAGCACAAACTAACTTTTCTAGAAAGACAGTCTACTATTTTCATAACATTGATCCATAATGGTCAAGATCCACTGATCTAAGCTGCGATCTGAAGGAGTCATAGCTATTCAGAAGAGGAGTGAGTATGAAGGAAGAATATTCCAGGCAGAGGAAACAGTGTATGTAAATATCTGAATGTAAGAAAGCATATGACCTACTCTATGAACCCTAAGAGTACAGTATGGCTACTGCAAAACACTGCATAACGTGGATGAACTTGGAGGACATTATGCTGGGTAAAATAAGTCAATCACAGAAGGACAGATACTGAATTAGTCTGTTATTGTAAAAAGTCAAGGGAAGGTTTATATATGGAAGGAAATTTTCTTTGTTGGTTACCAGGGATGGGAGGGGAAGGGAGAGAACACTGTTAGATAGGTAGAGACAAATATCGATTTGGGTGAAGAGAAGGGCAATGTACCAAACGTGAGTGATCAACACAGTGGCATTGAGGAAAAGGAAGACATAGAGAGGTACATGGGAGGTACAGACAACAAAGATGAACCCTTCTGCACATAGAGTACTGCATTGTCAATGAAGGCAAACATGGATATACAGGTGGATAGATGGGTGGACAGGCTCAACTACTAGGTATGTCTATGCAGGGGGGAGTGTGCCCAAGACCATGTATAGGGTTGGCAGACAATGTTTCTACAAGTATATGTGTATATTCTATAAGAATTCCCAGGTATATAGTAGAGCTGACAAGCAACAAGGTTGTAGTCACTTCTTGGCCACAGCCAGCTACCCAGAGGAAGCGAGTAGTTGCACTTGTGGGCTCAGGACCATTGTCGCAGGGGACATCAAGCTCAGCTGGCATAACATCCTACACAACATATTGTTCCACATCCTACTTTGGCAAGTAGTGACTGGGATCTCAAAAGCTTGCAAGCAGCCATCCAGATGCAACAACAGGTCTCTCCTCTCCAGAGCAAAGAAGAATGAAGAAAACCAAAGATTCATGGAAACAATTAGTCCAAGCAACTGGTACACCATGCCATCCACAGCTTATATGACTATGAAATCAGAAGAACTAGATGGTGCCCAGCTACCACTGTCAACCAGGGGGATCTATGTAGGAGCTCCTGGATAGAGAGGGAGAACAATGTGGAACAAAACTCAAAAATCATTTGGGAAAAAAAAAGGGGGGTGGAGACCAGATAGAGCCTGGTGGAACCACTGAGACTATGGCCCCTAGCTGCCCTTCAGGTCTGGAATTGAACCCACTCCTGTGGCTTCCAGGCAAACAACAGACAGGCATATGAGGTGAATGTTTATATTAGGTAGATACACTCCTTGGAGAGATCAATCATGGGACAATAGAAAGGCTGTGTATGCACAGGGAGACAGCTCAGGGGGCAGGAGTGCATGGAGGGAAGGACACAGGGAAGAGGTAACTATGGGGAGGAAGTAGGAGGGGAGCTGTTGCACTGTGGTAAACTGTAGTCAATGTCATGCCCCAAAATGATAATATAAATATTGTATGAACTCGATTATATGGAATAACGATAGGCAAATGTATACAGACCAAAATTTATCAGTGGTTACCAGGAGGGGAAGGAAAGGGAAAGGGAAAGTGAAAGGAAGAGTCATTGTTTGGGAATCCCTGAGTTTCTGTGTATGGTGGTAGGAAATTTGGTGACAATCGTGGGTAATGGTGGCACAACAGGATTAATGTAATTAATAGCACAAAATTGTACACCTGAAATAATGTTGAATTTGAAAATGTTGTGTTATATCTATTTTTATAATAAGTTTTTTTTTTTTTTTTTTTTAAAGAACAACATATTAGACATGGTACCCCTCACTGCCGAATCTGGGTCTCCTAAGCCAGAAAAGGATGTCTGGCTTTGATGGGATATGTTAAGGACAGGAAGAAGAAACCCTGTCACTGTTGGCTCAGTCCAAAGGAGACTGTCACTTGGAAGGTGAGGCCATTACTCCTTCATCCCAAGCAGTCCCAGATGCTGCCACCCCTTTTTTCTGAATTATTCTACCCAATCCCTGACTCTTCAGGGGCAAAACCTCAGAAACCAGACTATATCTACTATTACTACTACTTCACAGCCTCCATGAAGGCCCAGTTAGTCCAAAGAAAGGATTAGATTCCCTAGTCCCCTTTCCTCCCTGCCCCATTGCCTTGTGTTAAATCTTACTGAGCTGCTTTTATGTGAAGTTCTTCAAAGCCATTAAGACACAATGAACACACCCATAACATAGTCACAGGGCAGAAAGGATGCAACAAAGTTTCTATGGAATGAGTGCATACATGGGAGGTGAGTGAGTGACTGGCCCTCATTATTCTGCTTTGTAGATCTTCAGTATCCACTCAAATTCCAAGCCCCTTGCTTCTTACCCTCAGCTCATCCCTGACCTCTCCACCCTATTACTATTTACCATGTTTAAAGATACCACTTGAACATCAGCCTAAATCTAATAAAAACAGCACAGTAACAGTTCTTAAAAAAAAAAAAAAAAAAAACCAATCAGTCACGCTTACAGTACAACAGAACCAGAAGATTAGGACAGCTCACTCCCTAGGCTTCATCTAGGATGAAGCCCAAATGTCTTTTAGGAATGATGATGGGCATAAGATCCTGAGCCCAAATATTCTGTAGACTGAAGTTCCTTCAGACCTATAAAATGGGGATCTTTTTAAAAGTATTCAGTTGCCATGTAGGTTAGAGACACGTACAAAGGACAAATGCCATAGTACACAGTACACATGGTAAATGACATGATAAAAAGAAAGGAAAACTGACTACGTACTTTAGAAAATTGTTTTCCCTGGGATGGAGGTATAGGCTGCAGGGTTGAGGGTGGTGGTGGCAGGAGGCCTGGCATCTTAAGTATTCCATCCCAAACCAAACCAAACTTCACTGCCATTGAGTCAATTCTGACCCATGGCGACCCCCATTGGGTTTCCAGGGCAGTATATCTTTACAGAAGTAGATTGCCCAGTCTTGGTTCTGTATTCCATACCTATTGGAATGGATTCCATACCTATAGGAAAAAGATGAGCAGATCACAGACTGCTGACCTCTCTAGTCATACTGTACTGAAAACAGAAGAGGACAATTAGGCTGACTGCCCATCCCAGCTGTTCTCACAGGCTGGTTGGGTTTGGACACTCTCCGATGGGCACTCAGACCTCTGTTTGACATTTATTCCAAGTTATTGTGGGCCGAACATGGTCAAGCAGTGTGGAATTGGTATTTGGAACTACCACAGCACATTTGGGCAACATGAGCTCAAAGGACAAAAAAAAAGAAGAAGAAGAAGAATACTTTAAGCCTGAGTAAAAGAACATAATCACACTCAAGTCAGAAGAAAACCACATGTATTTTCTTTTCCTGTTGACCTTAAACATGTCAATAGAAATGGACTTAACAAGAGTCAGCTGGGCCTTTTCATTACTAATTTTATGTATTTTGAACCTGAACCTGATAATTAGAACAAAATTTTGCATGCCACTGATTTGTTTTGTACTATATAGTTAAATGCTCAGCGGCTAACCAAAAGGTCAGCAGTTTGAACCCACCAGTTGCTCTTTGGGAGAAAAAAGTGGCAATCTGCTTCTTTAAAAATTAAAGCCTTGGAAACCATATGGGACAATTCTACTATGTCCTGCTGGGTTGCTATGAGTCAGAATCAATGGCAATGAGTTTGGTTTTTGGTTTATGAAGACTTAAGTAAAGACAAGGAACTGCAAAAACACATAAACCTCACATATTTCTGATGGGAGCATAAGCTGGTACAAGTGTTCTGGAGGGCAACTTGGCTTGTGTCTCAAGAGTCTTAAAATGTGTATAACATTTAACCAACTATTTCTTATTCCAGGAATATGTTTTAAGGAAATAATCAGAAACATAAATTAAAATTAAGATACAAAGATGCCCATCATAGCATTATTTATAAAGGCAAAATATAGGAACTATAATTTGCAATGAATAAGGACATAATTTTCAATTAGGATACATCTGTATGATAGAAACTTATAAAGCCATTTAAAGTTATGATGTAATGTGACTTCATTGATATGTAAAGATATTAATGACATAACACTAAATTCATTTAAATAAATTTTTATTGAGCACTCACTATGAAGATCATGCTAGGCAATGAATAAAATAGTACAGTTAATACCTTCATAAAGCCTATGATTGGGCTAGGAAACCAGGTATTGAACAAATAACAAGAGGAGGACTTTTACTAAAGAGAAGCGTAAACCCACTGCCATCGAGTTGATTCCAACTCATACCAACTCTACAGGACAGAGTGAACTGCCCCATAGGGTTTCCAAGGCAGTAAATCTTTATGGAACCAGACTACCTTGTCTTTTTCCCACAGAGTGGTTAGTAGGTTTGAACCACTGACCTTCTGATTAGCGGTTGAATATATTAACTACTGTGCCACCTTTCCTTAATCTCTTCCATACCCCTAAAAAGGCCAGAGGAGGTTCATGGCCCCTGCTTTGAAGGAAGGTCTAGGAAAGAGTAAGATGTGGACCAGCTGGCAGAGCACTGCTTCAGGAAGCCCAGAGGGCAAGAGTCACTCATTCATTGTGTGACAAATAAGTCCTTTCTTTTCTCTCAACTTCAGTGTCCCCCATCTCCAACATGAGAGATCAAAAGGTCTGGGGATATGCTCAGGAATGCACATTTTTAATAAGCAACCCACATGCTTCTGATGTATGCTCAAGTTTGAAAACTAATAGACTAAAAGATTTGACTTTCTTTTACCCTACGGAGAACAAGTGGACAACTGCCCTGGCTGAGCTATGGTTCCATCAAGTCCTCCTCGGTGCAATGCAAAGTATCTGGGATATAGAAGCACCTCACGGTGAATTTCATAGACTTCTCCTCCCTCCCCCACCATGCCATCACCCACAACATTCTTCCAATGGGGCTGCAGCCCCCCAACTGTGAACTGTTGTTTGCTCTCACCGTACCTGTGAACATTGCACAGAAGTAGGGGCTGCAGGCTGCCAGGACCACACGGTGGGCTTCAATCTCGACATCTTCTGCTACAATCATCACGTCACACAACAGCTGCTTACTGTAAGACACCAGTGAGGGAACAGGGTGGGTCATAGTATGAACAATATCCACCCCCAGCCATACAAGGGACAAGTTCTATCTCAAGTTAGGCAGAGGATGAACTCATCAACTTTTCCAAGTCTCTGATAAGTCTGATACTCATGCTTTTCAGAGGCACCCAGAGATCCAACTCTTCTGTGGCTGCAAATTCAGGGCCCCTTCATTTGTCTTTACCTCTTTGTTCCCCAACTTCGTTTTCTTTGAGTAAGGCTTAGAGGGAGAGCAGCTCAAGGAGCAGTAGGAAAAACTTAGGGCTGTCAGTTGAATGGCTGAATGACTGATAATGAATGCAGCATGCCACTGAGGTGAGGCGCCAATGACAGCACGTATTGACAATTCCCCAAGGGATCCACGAAATCTAAAATACTTGCAAGAGTCAAGCCAGATCAGTAGGACTCAGGTATTTCTTCTCCCATCCAGATTTAGCATAATCACCAAGAAGATTCTCCCTGCACACATCATGTACCCTAAAGACCTGGTACAAACCTCCCCCCCCCAAAAAAAAAAAACAAATTCATTGCCATCGAGTTGATTCCAATTCATAGTGACTCCCATTAGGTTTCCAAGACTCAGTCACTGCAATTATCAAGAATATTGTAATTGCCTTTTTACTTATTTTTCACCCTTACTACACTGTAAACTTTGAAAAGGACTTAATGTTTTATCCTAGATACTTGTCTGCATGGCTAGCACAGAGAAAGCTCTAAAATATTTTTAATAGATGAATGGATGAACGAAATGAGATCAATCCACACTCACAGACTGAGTAGATACTTGACTATTTTGGAGATTGAAAGGCTGCCACAAAGCCCTGTAAACCCAATAATTTTTTTTCATCAGCCTTCCATGTTCTTATCATGTCAATCATTAATAGACAGAGGAACTCCAGAGCCCATGCTCTTAATGTCTTACGGTATCCTGATCACCACCCTCCTCTGGATTAAAGCACTGGAAGTAGGAGGAAAACTAAGGAGGACAAACAGATTTCAACAGTGATCCACTGGTAGTGGACTTAACACATTATATTAGTTTGAAAATTCTAAGGCCATGGCTAGGTTTGGTGTGAGAGTGCTGAAACCAATGAAAGAGTTTGCCATGGTTAACAGAGAGAAAAGATGACTCATATCTCCTAGTTGTGGTATACCACATTAAGCCATTGCCAGCCATTAAAATATTTGTTCAGGTTCACTTGCCAGAGGAGAAGATTCATAAAGCCTGAAAAGGCTAGAGCTGCAAATGCCCTTAGAGATGATCTGATCTATGAAACTCAGTGAAGTAAAGTGACTTGTCCAAAGTCACATACACCTGAATCCAGTTCTCCTGACTCTGGATTCAGTTTTCTTTCTACTGTAGCACAATGCATCATGATTGGTTGACACTTAGAATAGGAAGAGACAAAAGACAGGTTAGCTATAATAGGGAGAGGTGGTTGGGGGGAAAAAAAAAGCTTAGCACACAGAATAAGCCACAGTGAGGGGGCTCCTGGGAAGGGTGAGACTGCTTTATACCAAGAGGCAGAAACCAGGGTTGGGACCTCATACTGCAGTGTACTACAGGCCCCACACAACTTTATCAGAATAAATCAACTCAACTGGGAACAAGAGTGGCTCTGCCCTAGCTGACTGATGAGAGCATGGGCAAATGACCTCACCATGGTTTTCTCACCTGTCTTAGTTCCCTTTGGAATGCACATCATGAAAACAAAATAGGATTGCACATGTCATCTTGGAACAGGCTGGGTTTTTTAGTACAATCAAAATTTACTTAAAAAAAAAAATGTTTTCCTAATATGAATAGATTTATCTTGGAAATTTTCACTTTTATGAAGGATTTTGGGGAGCTCTGGTAGCATAGTGGCTAAGGCCCTTGACTGCTAACCAGAAGGCTGGCGGTTCAAACCTACCGGCCACTCCTTGGAAGGAAGATGGGGCAATCTACTTCCATAGTGATACTGCCTCGGAAACCCAAGGAGGGGTCACTATGAGTCGGGTCCAACT